ATGTGACAGTGAAACACTTCCTAAAGTGAAAAACATGCTCTATGATTACATGAAACAGATATGGTTGGGAGAGTCGTTGAGGGGAGAACCAAACTGACAAGCAACGCACATGATGGATACCATTTCTGACAAAAGGGGTAAAAAAAAACAGCTAGTGCTCCGTTAAATCAGCCGAAAAATGTGCTTTCATTTGCACAATAACTTCATGCTTTTAAATCCTTCTTTATCACATTTAAATCCTTCAGTTGGGGTTTAAATAAAGTGTAACTGCAATGATTTGGTCTGAATTCCTCCTTATTGTAACTCCACAAGCCCCTCTTTCACCMTTTTTCTGAAATGTGCCTCACATTAACTCGTTTTGAGGCTGTCCCTTTAAATCCAAACGAAGYGCTTCACACACCCCGCCTCCAGCTTCCAGAGTGGTTTATTCTACTTTGATAGAGGGGTTTATGACTACATTTTAATTAAAAGGTGTCAACAACAGAAGACTTGTCCATCCAGCCTTTGTAGCCAGAGTCTGAGCCAGAGAACAACGAAGACGAGGAAACTGAACTTTGGTAAGTCCAGACCAGAAGTTCTGTCACAAACACTGTGACCTATGAAATGTCACAGAAAATAGWGAAAACTGAACAGACTGAAAAAACTGACCCAAACAAAATATAAAATGCAGCATTGGTAGAGACAAAATTGAATTTTTCTGCACTACTAGAGTCTCCAAATACACAACAAAATGCATTTAACTGTTAAAAAAGTAAGTATATATCCCTTTAAGCACACAGAAAAAACATTTAAAGTTCTAGAGATTGTTGCTTGCCTAAAATGATTTATAAAGTTTGTGTTTTTAGTTTTGTTCATGKTTTTTTGTTTTCTGCCTCATTTTTATTATTAATTAGGACATTTGGTCTTTATTTAGTGATTTTCTTGTTGTACAAACTTCCTGTGTTTCCTCTGCTACAGAGTGAGGACCGTCATATGTTTTTAACCAAGAAAGTGAGGACATTTTTCCGGTTCTCTCTTTTTTGCAGTTTTACCGTGCTCTACAACAAAACGTAGTAGTAGTGGTGTTCCGATCGATCGGCCACTGATCAATATCGACCGATTTTCGTGAAAAAAATATGTGATTGACGTTTTCGATAAATGCCTTCCATTGCCGATCACAAAAACTGATAGTCTGGCAAAGGCTGTGTGTGCAGCATTCAGAGTGGTGTTTCCCCTTCCCCTTTCACCCCGCTCCCGGTCTCCCGTGCAGTGGGAAGAAGTTGCGCAGGAGCATGGAGGGAGCAGATCATAAACAAACATGTCTGCCGTCTGGAAGTTTTTCACCGTCTGTGAGAGTGATGCCAAGTTTTCAAACTGCAAGACGTGCAATGAAAAAAAAACCTTGTGGAGGAAGTATGGTAAAATCCTTCAACACAACAAACTTAATACAGCATTTAAAGAACAAGCACTTGGCGGAGTATGGTGAGTTTTCAAGCAACAGTCAGACAGCAGTTAACGCAGCCCACACGTGCCAAAACTCGCTCATACGAGCGTGACAGTCAATCCAGCTGATCAGTATCGGTGATCGGCAGTGATCGACACTCATGGGTGATCGGTATCGGAATCGGCAGAATAAAACCTGTTTGGAGACTAGTAATGGTTAGGTTAAGGAAAAATGTCTGCATTAGGCATAAATGCAGTAACAAAACGAATGGAAGTAATACAAAGTCCTCAGTTTGATGGAAGTACAAGTGTGTGTGTTTAAAGAGTAACTTACCCCAAAATTACCTTTTTTATAGCTGATAAACTGTCTAGAATGTGTCTAAAATGTTATATAGTACTGTTTCTGTGCTAATTTTGATGTGAATTGTTTCACATCAAAATTCCTAAATTGTTTTCCTGCAGTGGCAGAGCCTTTTGTTTCCTTGTTTCTTTGAAGTTTCACTGGTTACTTCATACTAACCATCTTTTTCAACCTGTTCAATGACAAAAACAAACTTTTTGTACCAGCCAAATTACAATTTTGCTGGTAATAATTATTC